TATGAAGAACTTGAGAAGGAACTCTGGAAGCTTGTGCAGGCTGATCCTTACCTGTCATCCATTCCAGATCTTCAGCAAGAGGAAATCCAAACCCTTGGCCATTTCACCTCTGTACGTGACACATCTGAGCTTCTCCCAGACACTGACGCAGTTGAATCAACATTTGATTTGCACTCGCGAGCCCTGCAACGTATGACGTCAATTGGCTCTTGCTTGTTGACAACAGCGACAGAATGGTCATCAAACCGAAAAGCTATCCAGAAGGCTAAAGAGATGGAAAAGAAAGCAAGGGAAAAGGAGGAAAGCAAGCTACGAAAGAAAGCTCAAAAGGCAGAGCAAAAGCGCCTGGAGGCTGAGCGGAAGAAAAATGAGCAAACAGAAGGAAATCAAGATGATTCGAAAGGCGATGGCAAGAGAAGAAGAGTTGGAGGAACGCGAATTGCCAGTCAAATGTCTGATTCCGACCCAAAGTGTTTGGTTGAGAAGTTTGATGAGATGTTCAAGATTGACGTGGTTGAGGAGCTGGAGCTTTGGCTGCAGTATATATATATATCACATTTTTCACACTAGCATAGCTTACTGCTCGAAAAGACACTTGATAGATTATTGTTCTACTGACAGTGGCTCAGGGCGAGAGAGCATATGAGATCATCCTGAAAGCCAAGCCATTGATCGTGCGATTGCGCCGAACGCAGATCAAGAAAGTCTTGAATGCCAAAACCTCAGTTCATGACATAATTCAATTTGGTTGGCTGTCTGTCAAACAGGTAAAACCAACAAAAATATTGTGTTGCAACATATATAGTATTGCCTGCCTTGCTGCAGAGCTGACTTTTGCTTGCAGGCCCATGGCCATGAGAATCACCAGAAGCTGCAAGTATGGTGCCAATCAGTTGCAAGCCAGCTACGTACTTTCACAGCAGAGGCTGTGGCCAGCTTGCAGAATGATGAAAACAGACGAAGCGCAATCAAGCCCCTCGAGTGTGAATTCCAGACAGAGTTGGCTTTGGGAAATCTATTGATGGCTCATCTCGAAAAGATGAACAAGGACCTGGACCTAATCCATACTGACTAGTGACTGACTGACTCGAGGTGGCTTCAATATATGAATACTTAGACTCTAAACTCTAAAGTATACTAGATATTTACCTAATAGACTGCTATTTTTTTGTCATGCTTTTGACTCCACGCCATGCTCTTGAGCTTTGACAATTGTGCGCTGGAGGAGGAGCAGAACAAAATTCCTGCCCACATCCTTGATGTGAACACCCTGCAGGATTTTCTCACCAAGAATAGTATCTCGGATGCGCAAGAGACATTGAGCAAGTTCGTGACTGCGTCTTTCTATGCCTTTCGGAATGGCTCGACGTCTTCTGGCAACACACCCAATGGGCTGGGCCTTGTTCAGTACCAGATTGAAGGCAGTCGATTGTTTGCAATGATTGGTTTGGAGGAAGCCATGGAGCATTTGGGATGTGACAAGGTGAAGGACAAGGGATGTGTTAAATGATTTGTGCAATTCGTCGCATCTTTGCTAAGCTATCAGTCTGAGTCATCATCAGTCTGAGTCTGAGTCGTTTGAGTTGACAGGATGTGGCGCTGGAGTTTGCAAATCTTACACCGAAAGACGACCGCTACCTTGCGAACAAGTTTGAGACACTCAGGTTTGGCATCCTGCTTCCAGGTGATATGATGGTGTCCCCACCAGGGTACATGTGTGTTGAAAAGATGCTCAACAGCACTAGCATTGGAATCAGATCAAGTATGCCGATGGTCCATATGGATACCATGAAGTCAGTCGAGATTTTGAACAGTGCTGTTCCGAGTCTTGGTTGCACTTGCAATGTCAGCAATGGACCACCAGACCCTACTAAGACAATGTAATTGCAAAACCAATTAAGGACACACATCAGCCGATTTGCACAGTCATCCGCAGTGGAAGCCATGAGAGTTTTCAAGTGGGACATGAAAGTCAAGGTGGGCAACTAAGAAAGTGAACATGATTGTGCGCTTGTCATGTTTGTTTCAGTTGCATGCATTGCATTGCAGTTGCTGTTGCTGCACTGTTGAAGCAGGTAGAGCGAACAGATGAGGACCAAGAGGCTCCAGCCAGTACCACAACAAATGAAAGCCATTTGGCGGTGGCAGTGGCCCAGCATCAAGAGAAGCCAACGCCACCTGTTAATGATTTGCCTGACCCTCAGATTCAAGTTCATGACCAATTGCCAAAGCCACCTGATGCTGGCGATGGCGAAGATGATGGCAATGATGGCGATCACAAAGCCTTCAGGGTTACAACAAAGGGACGGCACATCAGAGAAGGGGTTGCCGAAGTTGCAACATTGCCCGACGTGATCCACAGGTGTTTTGTCTTGGCGAGCACCAGCAAACTTCCAAATTGGCAGAGAGAGCTCAGCAACTTCATGTATCACGACATCAGTGAAGATGAGTTTTCATCCATGCTTGAAGAAGCTTGTGGACACAGTTTAATCAATGAACGCATGGCCCACATAGAGAAAATTCTTGGACCTGATGCAGAGGACTGGATTTTTGGCCATGAAGAAGGCGACCCGCTGGAAGATTTGATTGCTTTCATGGAGTGGTGTGTTGACAACGCACTTTCAAAGGACAGTGAGAAGGCTGCCCAAGTCACAGCAACATTGTTCCCACAACCAAAGATGCCAACACCAGCAGTGACAGTCGTCACAGAAACCACACCAGCTTTGCCACTGGCACCACCAGAAGCGGCAGCCAGCCAGGTACCAGCACCAGCATTGGCGCCAACGGAACCCACTGCCCCAGAGCAACCAGAACCAGAAGCACCAACAGATGCCGTTGCATCCATGGAGGCACCACCAGCAGAAGTGGCAGCCAACCAGGCACCAGCAGCAGCATTGGCGCCA